CAGAGGCGTAGACACACTTTGCCACGGCGAAAACAAAAACCAAATCCTGATGCTACAGACTCTTGAACCTCAAATGCAGCTGAAGGCGGGCCATCGCTCCATCTTTTCGACCACGGGCACTAAAAATCCACCAGTTCACGTTTCATGTCGTGTCACCGGATAAAGTAGGCAAAATCCAATCAGCGCGTCGAAAATGTCCAGTGTCGAGCCGACCGAAACTGCGCAGGTCGCAGCAGGCCCAGCTTATCAAAAAATACTTTACTTCGAGCCATCCCCGCCAGGACATTTGGAACCTTGACATGCATTCTGACACTTTACCGGCATATGTTCTGCCAATCTATCTGACATATCTTCCGACATTTTATCTGACATAAATTCTGGCATTTTATGTGGCATATCTTCTGACATTTTACCGGGCATATTTCCTGACATATGTTCTGACATTCTAGCCGGCGGTTGGGGTCAGGCAGCGCCCACTGCATTCGGGAGCTGGCAACGAGGAGGGGGGGGAGGGGGGAGGAGAGGAAGGAGGAAGGAGGAAGGAGGAAGGAGAGGACAGAACACCTTTGATAAAATTTAACAACCCTGACCTGGCAGGAAGGGGAAAAATCCGCATTCCAAAACGATCCCCCTCCCTTTCTGCAATGCATATTTATTGGTTGCAGTCGGCTGATTTTTTTTTCCCTCACGGCCTTTTTACAGCTCAAGTTTCCACAGCGGCTTCCGTGGTTTGAAGCCACGTTTTCTCCAGTACTGTTTGGTGTTGTCGACCGGTTTCAAGAACATGGCCTTCATCTCCTGCTTTGCTGCGTGCTCCTGGAAACAAAAGCAGCAACAAGAAAAACAAAATAGGAAACTGTAGAAAAGGCAGCTGTTGCGATGCACGATTGCAAAAGCGACCGGGTCGCATATGCAGCATGGCTGGAAATTCTTGGTTGGTCTCTCTGTCTGTGTACCATGCATCTGTTTATTTGCCTATCTGACTATCTGTCCATCTACCTGTCTGACTCTGACTGTCTGGCTGCCTGTCTAACTATGTATCTATCTATCTATCTACCTATCTATCTATCTATCTCTCTGTCTGTCTGTCTGTCTGTCTGTCTGTCCATCAATCTATCTATCTACCTATCTGGACCTCAACCTGGGACCTTCCCAGCTCAGTGTGCACCGCTGGACCTCAACCTGGGACCTTCCCAGCTCAGTGGGCAGTGGGCACCGGTGGACCTCAACCTGGGACCTTCCCAGCTCAGTGTGCACCGCTGGACCTCAACCTGGGACCTGCCCAGCTCAGTGTGCACCGCTGGACCTCAACCTGCCCAGCTCAGTGTGCACTGCTGGACCTCAACGGCCAGATAGAATGCCAGAAGATATGCCAGATAGAATGTCAGATAGAATGCCAGAAGATATGCCAGATAAAATGCCATGAGATATGCCAGATAGAATGCCAGATAGAATGCCAGAAGCCAGATAGAATGCCAGAAGAATGCCAGAATAGAATGCCAGATGCCAGATATGCCAGATAGAATGAAGATATTGCCAGATAGAATATGCCAGAATGATAGAATGCCAGAAGAATGCCAGATATGCCAGATAGAAAGTGCCAGAAAGATATGCCCAGAAGATATGCCAGATAGAATGCCAGAAGATATGTCAGATAGAATGCCAGAAGATATGCCAGATAGAATGCCAGAAGATTTGCCAGATAGAATGCCAGAAGATATGCCAGAAGATTTGCCAGAACATATGCCAGAAGATATGCCAGATAAAATGCCAGATAGAATGCCAGAAGATATGTCAGATAGAATGCCAGAAGATTTGCTAGAAAGTAATTTTAAGGTTGCGCACTGCAGCGGCACTGCGTGCAGTGGCACCCTTCAGCGGCACCATGCCAGCGCACAAACACCAAAGTGGGACCAGCACTCCGACAGCAGTGCCCTTCAGCGAAACCCTGCAGCGGCACCAGCAACCAAGCTCCAAAGCGCACGAAGCACGCCGGCAGCAGCAGGCGCCAACGCCCAAAGCTCCAATGCACACGGCGCTCTGGCAGCAGCAGCCTGCAACGACACACCATCCGGCGGCACTGGCACCCGCACCTTGATAGCACGCACACGCGCCCTCTAGCACCACCACCCTGACAGTAGCGTTTTGCAGCGGCACCCTGCAGCGACGCCAACACCCAAACCCCGAAGCGCGGGCTGCCCTCCGGCAGCAGAACTCCACCCTGCAAGGGCACCAGCACCCAACTCCAACAAACAAACAAACAACTTTCGTTATACCGCAATGAAAGCAACATGGCTTCGCTCCACAACAATTCTTACCCCGTTGGAACCCCATTGCGCCAGCATACGCCACCAATAGCAAAAGATATTTTCCAGTGGCAACAAAGCGCTCGCCTTTTTTTGCCGCGACATTACGATGTAATCTCCATCAAGGCCCAACACCCACATTGCCATGACATCCCGCAGACAACCCCTGTCGGGACACCAGCACCCAAGCTCAGTTTCTTCCTGCCGTATCTTGTTCTGCTTTCCCTACCCTACCCTATTCTGGCTCGTGCTGCGGCTACATTTCCCTGCTCTTGCCGTCTATCCGCCTGTGCATTCTGCTTTGCTCTATTATCTTCTACTCCCAAGGAAACGGGCTCACGCAAATTGTGTATTTGCGTTCTGGGCTTGGGCATTTTCCTGTAAATTTCGTATGAAGTGGCTCTCCTGGCATCCTCTCCTTGATTTCTATGGTCTTTCTTTGGGGTTTATATAATTTTTCTATGGTAATTCTATGTAATTTCTATGGTGTTTCTATGATATTCTATGGTGGTTCTACGGGTGTGTCTATGGTAGTTCTGTGGTATTCCTATGGGGGTTCGACAGGATGTCTATGTGATTTCCTTTGGATTCCTATGGGGGTTCTGTGGTATTTCTATGATATTTCTAGATGATTTCTTTGGGAATTCTCTGGGGTTTCCATAAGGTTTCTTTGGAATTTCTATGGTGGTTCTATGATATTTCTATGGGATTTCCATTGGATTCCTATGGGATTTCCATGATGTGTCAATGATTTTTCTATCGGATTACTATGGGATGTCTGAGGAAATTCTATGGGATTCTTATGGGATTTCTTTGTGGATCCTATGCTATTTCCATGTTATTTCTATGATCTATGATCTTTCTATGAGATTTCTGCGGGGTTCCTATGGGATTTCCGTGATATTTCTATGGGATTCCTATGGGATGTCAATTGAAAGCAAGTTGAAATTCAATTGAACATACATTTAAACTAAATTGAAATCAATTGAAAATCAATTGAACGTAAACTGAAATCAATCGAAAGTAAATTGAAATAAATTGAAATAGATTGAAAGTATAAATTGAAATAAATTGAAAGTAAATTGAAATGAATGGACATCACTTGAAAATCAATTGAAAATCAATTGAAAGTAAATTGAAACCAATTGAAAGTAGATTGAAAGTAAATTGAAACCACTTGAAAACCAAATGAAATCATTCAAAGTAAATAGAACTCAATTGATAATTGAAACTTAATTGAAATCAATTGATCACATTTTATTCAGGAACCGGCACTTTAAAAAAATCACACTAAAGTGGATCCTTTTTTTTGGGGGGGGGGCCTACACTAATCAGCATCCAACATTACCTGCCATCATGTGATGAGGGAGAAACATATTGGATGGGAGGGTATATCAACCAGCCAAATTGGGAACAGATTGAAAAACCATAGGATGTAAATTGACATATCAACCAGTCAAGTGGCTACCAAATTTCGATAATTTTCTACATCATATCCAACTTGGGGTCGGTTGGGTGTGCGAAATGGGGTTGGTCAAACACCTTTTATTACTCTATTAGTTCAAATTGAGCGCGCAAACACACGAACAAATCTGCCAACATTGTAGATTTATAGGGGATTTCCCAGCTAGTCATATTTAACAAATCGAGTCTGTTGCTAAGCTTTCAACTCGTAACACAGATGGGAAAAAAACTCTGCGGTGGTCGGTGGTCGTTCTGCACCAAATCTGCTGTTGTTTTAACATGTTGTCAACACCGGATTGATAAACAATTTGTAACAATGATAGTATTAAACAGTGATAAACAATGATACACACTTCACTTATTCTTTATTGTGGGGTACCCCAATGATTTCCAAAGTGTTATAGTCTGGGATTAAAATGGCACTTGTAACAGACTCTATGGGGGGTGGTCATCCAGAATTTGACCGGAATCATAGAATCTATGCTCCCAGAACACTGACGGCTGACAGTCCTTTTTTTTATATGATAAACGCAATAAACATGGCAAGAACCATACCCATACTATCCCATATTTGGATTTATCTATGTTTATCTATATGATTCTCTTCATTTTTTCCAACCACCCCAAAAAAATCAAAAAAACATCACCCTCACCATGGGTTTTGTCTCAAAATTGGCTACCCGCAAGGTGGTTTTTCACTGCACCCCTGCGAGTGACCAGTCATGGTTTGTCTGACACTAGGCCACCCCCCCCTAATTTGCACTGTTTATCATGCTTCATCATCATCATCTTCCTTACTAGCGTTTTTTAGGAAACAAAACATGTTTATGGTGGTAATAGGGCCACAAATTTAGTGATTTTGCTACATGTTGATCTCGTTGGTGGTTTCAACCCCTCTGAAAAATATGAAAGTCAGTTGGGATGATTATTCCCAATATAGAGAAAGTCATAAAAGCCATGTTCCAAACCATCAACTAGTGATGGTTTATCATTATCGTCCCTAGTTTTTAATGTCAACCCTGGATTCATAAACCCCGTTTACGGCTGTTTAATTGGGGGGGATACCATTTATGTATCATATTGTGACATATAGTGACTATTTGGAGGCTACCCCCGCAATTTTTTTTCACCATGGATAACCATGGTTTAGTCTCATCCGGAGTTGACGAATCAATCACTGTAGCCTATGGTTTTTCCAGAAACCCCATTCTGACCCATTCTCCGAGCCACGAGAGCTCACGAAGAGAAAGTCCTTGAAGGCCGCAACGGCTTGGGGACAGGGCCGCATGGGCATCCCACCAGCATTCGTGATCACCACCTGTGGGCTGATTTCATGGGATACTGGGATACTATAGTATATGGTTATATATATATATGTGTATACATATATATATATTTCATGGGTTATTATAGTATAGTATAGTAGTAATCACCATGTTAATAATAACCATGTTAATAATAGTGTGATAATAACAATAGTTAAATATAATGGTATAACGATAGTAATAATAATAATTATAATAATAATAATAGGATTATAATTTTCATAGCAGAATAATCGTGTAATAATAATGAACAAAATAATAAGGATATAACCGGGATGATACTATATACTATATACTATCACCATCACCAGCATCATATTTACTGCATACCCGCATTGAACCGACATGAGCCAAAAATAAACTCATCATCATCAAACATGGTCTCTTTGCAACAGCCTATTGCGGACTTCTTCCAGAGTAACATCGTGTAGATTCAACCCTTTCTATCATCCTTGATTTCTTGCTACAATGAAACGAGTACCCCTCAGTTCACCAGCCAAGAGAATTCTTCGTCCGGGGCAGACCTTGCCTGTTGACTACCTGCCGGTATGGAAAATTATACCCTTCGCTCGCCTCTTTTTTGGACATATGTTGTTTAACTATAGAGGAAACCGGATCTAAAATGGATTGACAACCAACCAAAACCTCTTGTGCCAGGTTGGGAGATATTAGGATACCAAAGAGTAACTGGAAATCTGCGACACAAAAATGCAAAACAATGCGTTTCCATGAGTCATCTGTGGCTACATGGTTTCGCTACATGGTTTTATGCTCATCCATCCCATGGGAATTCCCAGCATGATCACCATCCTGATGGGAAAACAACCTATGTACCAGGCAAAATCCAGGCTGCACATAAGCTGGGCAACGGGCTGCAAGGATCCCCACGATCCCCGGGGGCCCCAGCCTGCTTCGTAATTGGTCGCCCCAGTCGTCTGGAAGATTCTTCCATTCGCGCCGCCTGCAGAAAGGATGGCCAGGGCTGGGACAACTTCAGCAAGATTTTTAGCCGTGATTGATCCACCCCCCAATTGGATCCAATTGGGGGATGGTTTAATAAAGGGTTGCGCTTATTAAGCTTTACCCTCTGGTTATGACAAACATAGCCATGGTATAGATGGCCCATAGAAATAGATGGTTTACGGTTTACCTATTAATAGCATGGTGATTTTCCATGGCTGTGTTAGTCATAACCAGAGGGTATTAGTTGTTTGTCCAAAATTAATGGGCAACGGTTGTGTGTTGGGAGAATGGTTACCCCTAAAACCTGGATATTTCTTATTTAGAGGTTGAGATCTGGCTTAATGGATCTGGCCCCGGGGCCCCAAGATCTTATGACTTATGGCATTGGGTTTACCATATTATACTGGTTGGTGGTTGACCTACCCCTCTGAAAAATGATGGAGTTCGTCAGTTGGGATGATTGTTCCATTCCCAATATGATGGGAAAAATACGAACATATTCCAAACCACCAACCAGTATATCATATTATACCTATCCGGCAGATTGGCACGTAGCATTTTTTGGTCAACAACGGGAAGGTGGCATCAATAGATTGATGATCCGCACAGGTGCCAGCGGAGGCATAGTGACTGTGTTTGACTGCCTGTGGACTCATGATCTAAGGGTCAGACCAGCCGGCGATGTTACCCTCCAGTAAATTAACAGTTCGACCCTGCCAGATAGGAATTGGAAGATGAGTTTCCATTAACAATTGGTGATATTGGTGATTTTCAGGGTCAAAGTGTTAATTTACCAGAGGGTAACTCATAGTTACTCCTAATCTTACCCCTAATCCTTTAAATCATTCCAATGAGCTCGCGGGAGGTCCATCCAATCTATCCAAATCACCATAAACATCACCATAAAAACCACAAAAATGCCCTCCAGAATTCCTCGCCATTTCCAATGGACTCATCTTTGAAGGACCCAAGGGTCCTAAGGGGTTCAGCTACTTGGACATGCCCATGAGGAAATCCCCTAAAAATGCTTGAGGTGGATCCGTGGTCATCATGTCTTATCCCATGAATGACTGAAGGCATCACCTCCTCCCACTTTTGACTTAAGCTTGCAGCGTTGGAGGCCAACCGATTCCTGGAATAGGAGTATTGGCCTCTTGAGTTCCAGTATTGTGATGGAAACATGTTGAGACCTCTGAGTTCCAATCATAGAAAATCAATTGCTTGCTAAGCCAGACCATAAAACCATTCACAAGTTTACAGTACCAGAAAGAGTGTGGTCAAGGCAGTGGAAGTTATCCCCACATGGCAGCTCATTCTTCAATTCATTACTTCAAAGATAAATCTACATCCCTGGATGGTTTTCCCAAATATCCAGCAATTTTCCGGCACAATTGAGTTCGACTCAAATCCAACTATAGTTACACTACCCTTTTGGTAATCAAACATGGCTGGAAACCCATAAAAAGTTTGATGACTGTCCCTTTAAACCACCATTTTTTTGTGGGATTTCCCAGCCATGGAGCTGACACCGCAACGCGGGTTCCCGCCTGCAACTCCTGCGAGCGAATGAGGTGCTGCAGCACCCCTTCTCGGCCCCCCACCTGGGCGAAGTCACGACGGTTCCCTTGGGGGAAAAATAAAGAACTTCACCAAAATGCTAAGTGGAAAATGACATCAACATACGATATCAACATGTATGTATGTATGTGTATATATATATATATATGTATTATGTAAAAAAAATGTATATAATATAGTATTCTAAAAAAAATCGAACAGGACTTTTTAACAGACCCCTATGCCTCCTAATTTCCAGACCCCAAGCGGGCCAACCTGATGTTTTAGTAGTGTGGATTGGAAGGACCCCCAGGATGCCAATTTCATGGGATTAGCCATTGAGGCACTCATTTCTTGACATTCAACTTGAATTAGGAGATTTGTGGCACCTTGAGTCGAAATTAACTTCTATCAATCCAAAGATACAAGACAAATGCCAAATAGGGCCGATATCCCTACCAGCATTGAAAGTGGGTGTATCAGAGTATCAGCATCTTCAGGGGACCCCAAGTCAAAAACAAAGATTTTGAGCTTGAGATTGTCTTCCAAAGATTCTTTTTATGATTTTGGCATGGACGTTCCATTCGAAGAAGGTGTTCATCCCAAGGGGTCTGTTCGGATACCGTGCTTTCCTGCAGCTAATTCTGCATCGTATCCGAACAGACCCCTGGAAATCTCCCAACATTGACCCTAGAAATTGAGTAGCGGAACCCTTTCCACCGTGGCTATGCGGGAATCTGGCACCAGATATTTCAAAATTGAACAAATTTTCTTGTTGAAAAATGGTTTCCCGCCACAAAGTGTACAAGGTTTTGGATTGGACACACAGGAAATGAAACAACAGGACTAGAGACATCGCAAGACGCGAGTGAAAGAATGAGAATTGGGGTGGGACACTATGTTTGTGTGTGTATGTACACGCACATGCCAGCATGCAAACACAGACCACGTCAACGGGACTGACTTTTTACCTTAAAGTGAGTGAACCGGACTTTTTTCCCAATATCCCCAATAATAGAAAATAATAGTGGGTCCGGGCCATAGGGGTCTGGAAAAAAATCCTGTTCAAATGTTCTTAGAAGTAAAATAAAATATAAAATAATATCATATCATATAATATCATTTAGTATCATATCATATATATATATAATAATATATCACTATTGTTATATATAATAATATATCACTATTGTTATATATATATATATTATACATATGTGTATATCAAGAGGAGATCTGATGAGGTCTGAAACTTCAGATCCCAACTTGGCGACTTGTTGGGAAGTCTGCCTCACCGTGATAGATCCTGCTAAATCACCTGCGGTGATTAGGCACCAAAGAATCAAACATCACTGTGCCATATGTTTGGCCATATGTTGTGGCGATATTTCCTGAAATTTAGGCCATTGATAATAGGTATATACGGTAGGTACCTCCAAATTAAAGTTTCCTGAAATGGCCAGTGATTTTAATAGCTTCTTGTACGGAAAGTCACGCACAGAATCCTCTTGCAACTTAAATGCAACTTAATTCATGAGAAACTACGGCATGCTGTCATGCCAGACATCAGAACTCTTTGATAATCCGTGGCTATGGCGCGATGTGGTGGGATATATCCACTTTCATCCATTCCTTGTCATCTGGGCTTGTCTAAAAATAGGTACGCAAAAATCGCAGGGCTGATCATCATGTTTCCATTGCAATAGTAAATTTGGGTGTGGCTTATCCCTCATGTGCAGCCAAACTCATCTGGGCATCTCTACACTATATCTTGGCCAAAATCACATCCAACAAAAGTTGATAGATTTTCTAAAAAATCTTCGTACTTAAGACGTCTTAAGAACATTGGTCTTTAGTATCTGGTTGGTGGTTGACCTACCCATCTGGAAAATATGAAAGTCAGTTGGGATGATGACATTCCCAATATATGGAAAGTTATAAAAGCCATGTTCCAAACCACCAACCAGATATCGTTTTATTGGCCTTCATCTGCTAAACCGTCATCCAAAATTTCCCATCCGTCATCACCATCAACCCCCTACGTTCGCCGAGGAACGATTCGGAACCAATCGAGGAAACGATGACCCGCCAAGCCGCCGTTGGTCAGCTGAATCGGATGACCCTGCCTGGGCGCTGAACGTTCGATGAACATTTTCCAGCCATCATTGGGTTGGTTTCAGGGACAATTTACAGGGACACGCCATATTTAATCTGGTTGGTGGTTGAGCCTACCCCTCTGAAAAATATTAATCAGTTGGGAGGAAAAATAAACCAAATAATCCAAACCACCAACCAGTAATGGCAAAAAAGCATAGTTTCCGGTTGAGATTTTCCCCAACAAACCAAACCATGGAAGCCACGCTTGAGCACAAAGGCTATGAACAATACGGAGATATTTGGTATTTGGAAGTCGACCGTGGCGGCATATTTGAGAGAAACATGGGAGATGTGGAAATTATTAACAAATAAAACCTCTGAAAACCACACCAGTTGGACCCATTCTCATGCGTGAAGGTTGGGGGGTGGCATCATGTTTCTTTTTCATTTAATTTCTACGCCCACATACATGCATCATCCTGAATTTCAGTCTGTGTATGTATGGGTGGCCTTGAACAACAAATATTGTTTCAAGAAGCCGCCCTTCAGAGAGGGTTGATGAGAGGGTTCAAGAAATAGTGTTTCAATAAAATCAACTCATACATACTCATTTCTCAAAGGCTAGTGAGATTTCCAGCTGATGGTTATAGTGTCTGATTATCATAATTTTCCATTGGCCATATTATATAGCCATGAACCATTATGAGCTACCGGTGGTTTTTACCCAAGCAACCAACCCTTTACACAACCGCTAGCTGTGTCTTCGACCAAGGAGCTTGTCAAAGCCGAACGCCAGGGTTTGGCCCAGGAAAATGTGAGTTCCTGCGACAGATTACTGATTATAATACTGCAAAACATACTAGTTAAGATACTTAAATACGAAATAGACTGCATTGCAATCTATATATTTTTTATAATTATACTAAGTGGACTGAATATTCCATCCCTGTCTTTTAGCGGTTTCAGACTCTGACTTGGGTCTCTGATGTTTCTGCCCAGAACACTTTTTTCTTGACCTGGTGCATTTCAGATTCCTCAGACATCATCAAATAATACACCCCAAAATGAAGGTACCTACTGTGGATGGAAGAAATCCTGCATCACCTTGGATGATTGAAACCCTACACATATCTATAAATAATGTGATAAACCACCTATCAACGGTGTAGGATTTTGCAACCATCCACCGTAGTATGCTTTGCCAATGACTCCAGCATAGAACTTGATGATTGAAGCACGCGCGAGCGCGTGCTTTCCAATGGTTTTCCTTGACATCTTCTTGCACTGGGGCATTTGGGAAACACACAAAAAACAGCAGAACAAATACTTACAATCATGTGCTGATCAAAGTGAGCAAAGCTCTATTTCTGGTCAAACAAAGCTGTTTATAGCTAATCTAGGACACCCATGGATACCCAAACAAACAAAAGTTCAGTTTGAGCTGGCTATTCAATATCCACCAACCCACCGATGGTCTCCTTCGTTGGGAACCTGCTCGACCAACCTGGTCTGCCCAGGATTCTTGTGTTGGGGATCAGGGGGATCTGGGGGATCTGGTACCAACTTCTGTACCCCCAGATTGGATAGGTAGTCCCCTGGGCGTTATCTATACTTATCTACATCTATCTACTGAAAATGGTGGTTGAAGGGGTCGGAAACAGGCACCGCATCAGCCATCAATCACTTTTGCCGTTGCCCCCGTTGTTTGCCCTTAAGATCAACACTTCCTTTGCGCGTTCCCCGCTGGAAAAGGATCTAAAATCTGGGGCGCCATTTCCTCGTGGCTTTTGAGTTCTTCAAAATGGAAGACCTAGGGGACCACAGATGTTAGTCTAGTTTAGTATTAACCATCCAATTATTGGGGTACCTAATTTTGACCCATACCCGAATCTGGATCTTTGGTTTCCAATCAATGTTGCCCCATTGGGATAATGTAAATAAATGTTTTGATTCCACCAAGACAACCAGGCAACCGGCTGGCGAACGTTCGCCAGCAAAATGGATAGTGACTTGGCTATGAACTATTAAATGAAGATTGTTACTGACGTTCACTGAATTATATTAAACTACAATGTGAAATGTCAATATCCTCCGATGCTATTAACATCTATTAACTACATGATTAATGATATTAACTGACGTTTTAATGGATATCACTATCAAATGTGGATTGCCACTTTCCAACAACCCAACAATCCCATCACTTTCCGCCTCAGCTGCGGAAAAACCTCCACATTCTGACGACTCAAACGTGGATCCTCTGCAGGATCAAAGTTGAGAAACAAGGAGAAAACCGTACCCTTTGGTTGGCAAAAAAAACATGGCAGACCAAAGGAATTACTGTAAATGGGCATCTGAGGAATTTCCAGGAAACCATCTTAAGTGGAGGGTACCGCCTCTAAATCAAATTTTGATATTTGACACAAATCATATAAAATCAGCCTGTATAGTTCTTAAATACGCATTTTTGTTGGTTCTCCATCACCAGCAACTCAACCATACATCACATCTCCAATCGCCTATTAAGCCACCATTTCTTTGGGGTTTCAAATCACTATTTTTGCAGCTTAAAATCAGGATTAAAATCTCCCATCCATCATGTCTCCAGTCAATAGCCTAACTCACCACGTCTTTGTGGTTTAAAACATGTTAAATCACCATTTGGGGGTTTCCATAAATGGTGGTACCCCAAGCTCGCTGGATTGTTTATTTTAGGGGAACATCCCATTTATAAATGGATCATAACTAGGGGTACCCCTAATTTCAATGGTTAAATCTCCGAGTTTCAATGGATAATCCCATAAGAATCACCATATGTTTGTTGTTTGAATCCGCCACAAGCCCCAAAAACTGCCAGACTCCTGCGCTGCATCTTGCGCCGCTTCAGGCCCTATGGGCCCCGGGGCGTTCTGGCGAAACCGCTCCACGCGGTTCTGCTGGCGCCACTTCTGCATGGCCTTGGCAAAGCTGGAGGGCGGGTTCAACCAAGAAAAATGGTGACTTAACCAACCAAAGTGGTGATTTAACCAAGAAAAATGGTGACTTAACCAACCAAAGTGGTGATTTAACCAAGAAAAATGGTGACTTAACCAACCAAAGTGGTGATTTAACCAAGAAAAATGGTGCCTTAACCAACCAAAGTGGTGATTTAACCAAGAAAAATGGTGACTTAACCAACCAAAGTGGTGATTTAACAAAGAAAAATGGTGACTTAACCAACCAAAGTGGTGATTTAACAAAGAAAAATGGTGACTTAAACAACCAAAGTGGTGATTTAACCAAGAAGAATGGTGACTTAATCAACCAAAGTGGTGATTTAACCAAGAAAAATGGTGACTTAACCAACCAAAGTGGTGATTTAACCAAGAAAAATTGTGACTTAACCAACCAAAGTTGTGATTTAACCAAGAAAAATGGTGACTTAACCAACCAAAGTGGTGATTTAACCAAGAAAAATGGTGACTTAACCAACCAAAGTGGTGATTTAACCAAGAAGAATGGTGACTTAACCAACCAAAGTGGTGATTTAACCAAGAAAAATGGTGACTTAACCAACCAAAGTGGTGATTTAACCAAGAAAAATGGTGCCTTAACCAACCAAAGTGGTGATTTAACCAAGAAAAATGGTGACTTAACCAACCAAAGTGGTGATTTAACCAAGAAAAATGGTGACTTAACCAACCAAAGTGGTGATTTAACCAAGAAAAATGGTGACTTAACCAACAAAAGTGGTGATTTAACCAAGAAAAATGGTGACTTAACCACCAAAAAAGGCGGCTCTATAGGAATGGAGCTAGAATGGATGGTGGGGTTGGCGGTGATGGAAAGCCAGTAAAAATGGGTAACCCAACTAAACAGGGTGATTAACATGAATTATGAACCACAAATCAGGGTTTAACCAACAAAAACTACCCAAAATTCGGATGTAACGAGCCAACGATATCGACAAATTATGGTTCATCCCAGTAGGAAATTAAAGGATTTAATCAACAAATGATGAGGGATAAACGATGCATATCAAACGGGATCCAACCAAATGGGCAACCAACCAAACATGCTGGTTTGAGGTTAATTTTTTAAACATCCAAAATCAATCAGGATCCACAAATGATGGATATTTCAGTATCCAAATTTGGGATTTAAGATGATTTAAGCATCACACATGAAAAAATGGGGATTCGTCCAGATAAACCACGGATTTTTTCCGACTTAAGTAACATCGGAATGGAATGGAGGGAACCCAAGATTCCACCATTGACAAATTGGCGGAGTTTGACATATGGAGCTTCTTTGGGGATGATATGGGGATTCATGATGATTTAACCAGAGGAAACATAGATGGACTTGTTGTTTTTTTCACTATTTCACCAACAACATGGATGGAGGAAAGCAACCGTCCTTGAATGAATTGGTTCACCAACAATATGGGCTTGACCATATGGGTCGGACTTACCGTATCATTTATATATATATATATATCCATTTTTTGTTCAACCAATATCTGATGAATACAGAACACATAGTGGCTGTCAGTTGTGACTGGATGGATGGATACATGATACATGGATGATGAGAAAGTGCCCTTATCTGAGCTGATTATGTGTTGTTGTCATCGATATTGTGCTGGGATGATAGAAACTATGGCTGGTTGGTGGTTCACCCTATCCCCACCAAAAAAATCATTGACCATCCAGTTTTTTTTACCAGTGAACATGTAATTACCTGGTTGGTGGTTTTAAAAAATGTTTTAACCATCTTGAAAAATATGAAAGTCAATGGGAAGGATTATATATCCCATATATTATGGAACATTAAAAAAAACATGTTTGAAACCACCAAGCAGTTACTGTAACATCCATTCATCATGATCTTAGTAGTATCAACCCCATCAGACGCTGGGTTTGTTTCGGGGATACACTTTATGGTGGAACCTATGGGGTCCCCTCTTTGAAGATGGCATGGCCAATCTGTGATACAAATTGCATCATAATTTTCCTCACATTTTCCTTGAAATAACAAAAACATACAAAAACTATAGATTCAGATTTTACTGTTCATTACCTTTCTATCTTTTCGGAGGCTACATATCATCATTTCCCTCAGTATTTCCAATAAAAACAACAACCACCGTGCCTGGAACTGCTCCACCGCGGCAGCGACGTTCCACTTGCGCGCCACCAGAAACCGCAACAGGTCGTGGTCTTCCACGGGCCTTGGTTGAACCCATGGGGAAAAACGTGGGACACGTATGGAAATCCGCATGGAATCCCCATTAAGAATGCTGGATTTTAAGATGTTTTAATATGTTTCAATGGGAATAACTTTGAAAAACATGGGGACATCTTGGGCAATGTTGGGAAATCTCCGAAGCAACCATGAAGCTGAAGATCTCACTGGAATCATCGAACAAATTCTGCGGATATGTTGCCCCATGGAGCTGATTATCCCTTAATATCCGTTATATCCCACAGAAGAGTCTGATAATTCCCATGATATCCTCAGGATACCATGAGTTGTGCTGGTGAAGTCACCTTTCTCTGCTCCAAGTGGCAAGGCCTGTAGCTCCGCATTCTGCTGGGGCCCCAACCCCACTTGAGTTTTCATCTCCAGCATCTTATCGTACTGCCAATGTGGCAACTCCTGCGGTGCATGAGCTGTTGCTGTTGGGTTGCCAGTTTGGGTTTGCTGGCTGCTTTTCTTTGCAAAACCTGAGGTCTTGGAAAAAACACAGCTGGTTGGTGGTATACCTACCCCTCTGAAAAATATGAGTTCGTCAGATTGGATCATCATCCCAAGTATTGGGGAAAATAAAACATGTTCCAAACCACCATTTTCGGTCCATTTTCGAGCATCACACCTGCTCAGTTGGTGGAGCGAGGTGGACAGTCTGTGTTCAACCCTCTAATTGAGGCATACCTGCATCCGAACCAGCTTCGCTGCTAAGGGCAGGTTTTTGAGCACCCCTGCATCACGGGTGCACGGCCGCGACAAGGCCGTCGAAAACCAGGACTCAACTTCTTGCACCGCGCGTGCGTCCCAGGGCAATGACGCCGATGGCAGATACGCCTGCAACAAGTTGGACCTCGGTCTGCATTGTTGTAAAGCAACCTTCACTCCTGTCGAATGCCAAATCGCCTTCAACAGCTGACGGAACCAACGTACACGAACCCTACTGGAATACGTCTCCGGAGCAAGGTACGGGCGCGTTTCAGCATCCACCCACTGCCGTTGGACCTTGAGCGGTCCCGGGTGTCCCCAGGTAAGCTGGAAGTCGATGTAGAGCTGATGAAACGAGATCCATTCCAGGGTTCCTCCTGCGCCTATTGCAACTCGGGCACGAAACCAAGCCGTGGCTTTCCGCACAATTTCAAGTCCAAACAGGCGTGCAACCTGTGAAGGGATGTCGCCCGTCCACTGTCCCAAAGAAAACTCCTTGACAAAAACTCTCGTAGGGCGAACAGGTTCAGGCTCAGCAACATTGACGCTGGCCTGAACCTGTCGCCTTCCAACTGCAAGCTGTAAATCCCGAACCTGTTGAAAAAGGTTGTTGGCCGCTACCGCAGCACTTGCATGCTGTTCCCAAACTTGCCAAAAACCAAAAGGCCTCGACTGATTTGCTAGTCTGGCGGCCCTGTCCGCATAGTCATTCTGAAAGAACATCCACGCTTCCTTGCGGCTGGTGGCGCTATGCAGAGCGCGGTGAGCCGGAACCTTAAACAACAGCACGTTCTCACTTCCAAGTCTGTCAACTGATTGTAAAACCCACGTCCACAAATCAGCATTGCTTCGATTGGGATTGATTCTGCTGTGCCCTCGCACCAATGTATGGAACTTCAAAAGCACTCCTTTGCAATCTGTCCAGATACGCACCGGTGCGTGTGTCTCTGCTGCACAATGAAGACCATATGCAACTGCGTACAGTTCTGCTCTGTAAGCGGTCTGGCATAACCCAGGGAGGTAGGAGGCAGCAAGCATCTGCACCTGACCAGGAATCCACTCAGCCTGAAAGGGCGGGACAACGGCAACCGACCACGCAGCACAACGCAGCAGGGGGTTCGACTGACACATGCAGGACCCATCAGTGAAAAGGTCAGTCCAACGGCCAGAGTCAAAGGAAGTCCACGGCACCGGAAGGTCAGAAGGCAAGTCCAAGAGGAGTTGAGTCCAGGTGTGCCAAGTGGGGGGAAGTTGTGCCCATCCACGGAGTGCAAGGGCGGGTGGAAGCAAGTCCAACACGGCCGGAACATCAGGAGCCAAAGCGACCCGGAGGTCATGATGTTGTGGACACTCCCAGTAACGATGCCGCAAGGTGTCTGATGCCCCGCACCAGCGACAGGTGTCTGGTTTGTCAGTCCATTTGGCTTTGTATCGTTCAGTGAACAACCCACCAGCAAGGCTCAAGCGGTAGAGCGCTTGGTCGTCAACCGGCAAGCTTTGCAGGGCCTGACGCGTGGCACCAAGATCAGCTTGGGCAAGACCTTGGAAGTCAGACCGATGAGCCGCCTTATGCGCAACAACCGAATTCCAAGCCCAGGCAAGTCGAAGTTCAAGTTCGGTGCTGTTGCAAGACTGCAAACAAAACGAGCCAAACTGGTCGCAGACCTGGCCGGAACGTTGCACAGACCACCCAAGGGATTGGATGCGGTGAAGAACCACAGCAGCCGGGGAGTTGGGAGGTAAGTCCAAGTCTCCATGAGCCAGTGGAGCAACCATGGACGCCCAAAAGTCCACCGGGCTATGCACACGCAAGGCACGAAAAGTCCAAAGATAGCCAACAAACTGCGGGTCGACCAGGCTTTCAACCATGCCAAGGAGGACAGCCGGGTTGACACCTGGCTTCTGCCAGCCCAGAGCCTGATCTCCTACTGGGGCACTAGAGACAGCGTGGAGCCCACGTGGCCACGCAACAGCTCGAAGCATGAAGAGCTTGGCCGGGTATCGAGCTTTGCTAACCCGCAGCTTGTCCCAGAAGGAATCAAGATTGGAGAGCCGGTCAGTAAGAGTGCAGTTAGTGTACTGCCTGGAAATTCCAAAATGGCCTCCCAGCTCTCGGGCGTGGTGAAAAACAGTAATGCCACCCTCCCGCATGATGCGTCGCATGTTGGGGCAGGTGGCCCAGCCGAACGTCTTGCGGCGATCGACAGTGAGATCAAGGTAACTGGCAAACTGCTCCACAAGGTCGAGTTGACGAATGGCATAAGTGGGATCCATAGTCAACGTCTGCCAATCGTCGACATAAGTCAAACACCGTATGGAGGGAGCTTGGACTCGCATCCAACACGCAAAGAGATGGTCAACCAGGAGCATTCCATAGACACTCAAGCCACATCCCTCAGCAAGTCCAGTGCTGGTCAGGAAACCATCAGAGTAGGAGTCTCGAACTTTGAAGTGACGACACATCTGTGCCAAAGCTCCACTCCACGCCGTGGTGACCGCATCCGGTGTTCCAACCAAAACCGCAAGGCACAACGCAGGAAACCGGGGAACGCAGTTGAAGCATTTCACCAAGTCAGCAGAAACGCCGGCCAGAGGAGTGGAAGTGGCGTAGGCATTCTCGATCTCATGCAACAAGTAAGTCCAAAGGTCAGAGGCCTGGCGCCCACGGCGATTTCCATAGACACTTTCATCAACCCAGCTTTCAGCAAATCGCAACAAGTACCGAGACTGGACACTGCTCCAAATGCGATAGGGAAGTCCAAAGATGGTGATTGGTCTGTAGTCACCAACCGAAGCAGCAGAGGTTGTTTTGGCCAATGAATGAACCTTGCCAGCCACAAGTTGACTGGGCCACTGTCCATCGACTTCCGCGCGGGCGTAGAGGTTGGCCAAGCTCTGCAGAGTGGCAGGGTCCGCCGCGAGAAGATCAGCACGGCTAACTCCATCAAGGCCAGTGGCCGCCCTCTTCTTCTTGCGTGCCCCTTCGGCTTGGATCAAGGGTCCATCAACAACAAGGTGAGGCAGCCGGTTTGGACGAATAACCCGCTGTGCAAAAGCAACAAGCTCAGACCAATGAGAGAAAGGCACACCATCATGCTTGCACCACCGCAATTGCCATTGCTCATGGAAAGCTTCAAAAATGGCCCTCAAGTCACCTACGTGCCTAGACTGCACCAGCTTCGACTGTGGTTGAACGTCATCCACATCAGTGAGCCAAACTTTGTCATGATCAGCATGGATGACCTTGTGTTCCTTGCCTGAAATCCACAAAGTCTCACAAGGATCAAGGCAGACAGGAACTTCAAGCTCAACAGCGCACTCAGACAAGTCAACACGAACCACGTCAGCTTCAACCCTGTGGATCAAAGTTTCAACAGGCTCAGGGGGGTCACGGGCAACTTCTCGGAACACCAGATGCCGGTCATGTGCATGTTGGGAGACTCGGTGGGCAGCCTTCGCATGGTTCAACCTTTGCTCCAACAGACGGACTTCAGCAAGCACCGCATCAAAAATCTGTCGAGCCTGGCTGGGGCTGGGACAAAACTGGGGGATTTGAGCAGGGTCAGCAGGACTGCGGTAGTGGCGCGAGTGCCACCACTCAGAGAAAGAAGAGCCAAATCCAGGGGCCCTAAGGATGGAATTCCAAAGTCCAATGCCATGCAAGCAGTCAACAATGCCAGTTTGGGGACGCTGGTCAACCCACCGACAAAAATTCTGCAGCCTGCGGAGTTGCTTGAACTGTTTGGCATACACAGCTGAAAATCCAAAGAAGGCCGGTTGGATGTCACCTGCTCGACCTTGCTTCAAAGGCGCTTGGTTGCCAGTGACACGTCTGGGCTTGGTCTGGGCAGCTCGACCAGCCATACCAGGCATCCATTCATCAGCCAAATCCAGCTGGGCTTGAGTTTCCTTGCTTTGCCAAAGTTGCGCATACTGCTGAGTAGGATCATGTGGGGAACAAAATGGCACACTCGCAGCCATGACGGACACTTTGGACCAAGGAACAGGTTTGGGGCACGGCCAGACGAAACGCTCAAGGTGTGCACGGCCACCAGCAAAGGACGCAACAAGGACAGCGTGGTCCGCAAAAGTCTCGAAATCCACATGGAGATCCAAAAATCCAAGGGCAAGTTCGGGCGAGAGCCACAGGTAGTCCTTTCGGGTGGCACCTTTGCAAGTATTGACAATTGGTCGGCCGGTCCTAGAAAGACACAAGTCTTGGACTTCAACCCAGCCCAGTTGATGCAGGCGATCAGTGATGTGCAGCGCTTCAACCGGGAAGTTCCAGTCGCCTGCCATGAATCTCGGCCCTGGTTGGAGCAAAAGTCGATCCAAAGCAAAATCCAAAAGCCTTTCTGTCCTGGGACGTGCATTGGGATGGGTCCGTCCTTCAGGATAGCCATACACCACAGCACCAGAAATCCAGGATGCTGGGGTGTAGAACGAGCTAAGTTGGATGCGGCTGGTTTCATAGATGTCAGGGGGCCACGCAACAGCAAGTGACCTGCAGGGGTAGGCCGACGTGAAGGCCACTCCAGACCAGCTTCCGGCGTCACTGGCATCAGACCTGGGAAGAAGTGGAGCTCCAGTCAGCACATGTTTGAACTTCGAATTGGTGGACCGAAAAGACATGGCAAGGTTGCGGCGAGCAGCCTTGGTGAGGTGTGTCTCAGAGACGGCAACAACACTGGCATCGATGCTAGACAAGATGTGGTGCTTACCCTGCAATCCAGAGGGATTGCAAATCCCAAGCTTCCATGGGGCATCAGGGCCTGGAACACGTGCTTCGCCGACTCGACACATGGACAAAATCAAAAGGATGGACAAAATTGCCCTGATGGGGCGGAAGAGCCCCGGGGACACTCTGGCACCGGGCAGAAAGCCAGAGCCCCCTTGCCTTCACTCGGTTCGGGGTTTCTTCGCCAAAATGGCATCGATGCGGCTCATTTGGTCTGACAACATTGTGGACATGTGCTGTGTTTGCATGTCCAGTTGCATCTGAAGAATCTTCATCTGTTGTTGCAAGGTCTGGACCTGGACCGTGTTTTGCTGGTGGTGCTCATGGATGGTGTTTTCCATGGCTGCCTGCTTGGTGGTGAGCTGTTGAACCTGAGATTCAAGCTGCTGCAAGCGTTGGTCCTGATCGTCCACTTCCATTTTCTCCGTGGGGAGCTTTGCCAAAATGGACTGCTCAAGTCGCTGTTCAGGCTCATGCAACACATTGGGTGCTGGCTGGGCGACAGGGGTCGCTGGAGTGAGGCTGATGGCCTTGGACCAGGGGTCCTGTTGCAGCCAGGGATCATGGCTGGTGGTGTCCGTCTGGCGACACAGCTCAACCGTTTTGGCGTGGCCGACGATCTTGGCTTCTGGCTCCGTCGGCAGGACCTTGGTGTCCTGTCGGGTGATCAAGACCTGGCCGTGTTGCATGGCTAGCACCGTGACTGGAGGTTCCGTCACTGCTTGAACTGCCCACATCAGGCCTCCTGGGACGTGATGGAGGGGTTGAAGTGGACGACATTCCCAGCCTCCAGTCTTCAGGATCCGTGCGATGGCTTTGCGGTCAGAGCCAAAGGGCCAGGGGCCGCACTGATAGGTGACGCGGCTACCAGGGGCGAGGTAAACAGCATCAGGCTTTGTGTTGGTGAAAACCCGCTGAAAGTGGGTGATGTGAACCCGGAGGCCGAATCTCTTGCCTGACCGTGCAATTCCAAGGCAGTCCAGCTCACACTTGGCCTGATGCGCCACAGCACTGAATTCCGTCTGTGGTAGCCGGACAACCTGGTAGTCAGGGTGAGGCTTGAGAGCATCCTCAGTTTTGGGCTCAACAAAGATGCCATGTTGGCCGCTGGACCGAAGGACATGGTGTTCAAGTGCCTTGACATACCTGACCAAAACTCCAAAATGGGTGGCCTTGTCCCATTTCACCGACCTGCCAACATCATTGAAAAACTGACGACGGAACACATCGAGGACAGCGTCATGGGTGTGGCCCTCAGGGGGATGCCAAGCAGAGCACTGACAGTCGGGCTTGGAGCGACAGGTCTGCAAACAGGTCAACACAGCCAACACATGCTTGACAGGTCGGGCAGCAAACTCCTCCCAGCTGCCATCCCATTGATCTTGGAAAACAGTGATCCTGGCACATGCAACCTCGACCGACAAAATGGCTGGGATGTCCTTCGCAGTGTACTGATAGACAGTGGTGCGCCCAAGTTGCACCAGCACTCCAGAAACCAACATGGGCTCTTGATTCATGCTGCATCGAGCTGCGAACCTGATGGTGGACCAGGTGAGGGATGTTTGCAGGTCACTTGGTGGGTTCAAGACCAACAGTGCAAGTCCATGGTTGGTCAACAACTTGCCGGAGGTCAGGAAGGGAACAGTATCAGAGAACGTGGTGATGGCTACACCAGTAGACAGGGGACCCATGTGAAGCAAAGGGAACTTGACTGAGCGGTTCATCATGATTGACACAGAAGGCACCATGCTCGATCAACAACTTGGAGGGGTCCAGGTCGGCTGGTTTGGATGGCACAAGCTTCTTTGCTGCTGCCTTGCTTTTGGGTTTGCTGGCAGGCTTGCCTTGATTGTGTTGTTGCTGCTCATCAGGCAAGACCATTTGCAACGGCGGGCTTTGCATGTTGGCAAGGGCCTTCAAAGAACGCCATGGGGCTGTCCCTGTGATGGCCTTTTGCACATCTGTTTTGCCTAAGGCTTGAACAACAGCTTGGCACGCAGGACTGCTTGAGATTCGGGGACTCCATGCGACTTCAAGAGTCCACCAGTAAGGCCAATGACATCCGGAACACCAAGACCCCAGCACCAAGGCTTGCGAGAGAACAGATCCGCACGAGAAGCTTCGACAAAGCTTGCTTTGAGGTCAGCATGCAATTCCACCAACTCCGACTCATCAGAAGAGGGAAGGTTCTTGCCCAGAAGCTTGTGGAAGGCAAAAGCAACAGAGGCCGCACCGCAGTAGCCACGAGCAAAGGAACGCCGGTTGCAAGCAAGGCTAAACAGAGGCTTACGCCAAGCTGTGCTGACCAATCCATGCAAAGCACTCAGCTCATCAATCTCAACATCAACATGTTCCCACATGGAAACACGAACTTCACTCATGCCCAAGGACCACATGATTGGCATCCAATGGTCGTTGACCGGAAGAGCAGGATGCTGGTCATATCTGGGTACTGATGAATCCATTCAGAGACAGAGTCCACGGTGCCACATTTGAGCCATCCCAACGCAAGCAAAGGGTCCAGAAACTGCACTTCTTTGCGACCAGACAAGCACAGACAGGCATAAAAATGCAAGGTAAGCTCATCGTCTCCCATAGCACTACCCTGATTTTCAAGCACACGCAAACGAGAGGGGCTGTGCACAGTTGCCTGACGGAACATTCTACAGGAGTGGAGGTCTGGCACAAGGGGTGGAACCAAAGCGGCAAGCTGGGCCCCTGAGAGACTGTGAAATCCAAAGAGGGTGTCCATGGACTGGCCTGGCGGTGGAGCGGCATCAGCAGGCGTGGTATCTGGCGCAGTGGCTCTGCTGTCGTGGGAGCCAGAGGCATCTGGTGGCATCGGCTCATCTTCAGGCTGCTCAGACTGCTCATCGGCCAAGTCCAATGCCGTGGCAGGCGGGTCAAATTCCAAAGGAATCAAGTCAGAAAAATCCATTGGCACAAGACTAGCACTCCCACTGGATGACGGCAGGACATCATGGGAACCACTGTCAGGCAGTTCTGGTCTGTTGACAATGATCCGTTTGCCGGCAACCGGGCTGTAAAAGTCCAAAGTCTGGCCAGTTGCAGAGTCGATCCATTGGTCGGCTGGAGCCTCATTGGTCAAGACAAATTCAGCTTGGAAAAGCTCGATGGCAGTGGTGGATGATTGAACCTGAACTCGATTGCTGGTGCCATCAGGATAGGTCAAGACAGTCCACTCAAGGGTCGAAGGGCCAACCGGAACATTGGGGAACAAATCCTTGGCGCAGGCAAAGCACTCCCTTGAAATTGTTGAGAATTTCAACGGGGTTGATGGGATCAAAATCCAACCGTTTGCGCACTTGCTGCATCACACAGGCACCAACCCAGACCGACTGCAACGGAGAGGCAAGTTGACCGATGGCTCCAAGACACAAACGCAAATTGGCAACCTCACCCATCAGGAGTGCAGGTGGAGGTGGCATTGCATTCAGAATGGCAAGCTCACACGGGTGCAGGTGTCGGAAGGTGACGGCAGACTCCGATGTCACCTGAATCAGCTGTGCATACACACCTCGTTGCTTGATCAGGGCTTCACTAAACGCCTGACGGCATCCACAAGGGCAGGCATCGGCTTGACTGCCTGCCGAATGCAAGCTGGTGGGCAGCTTTCCATCCATTTGCATGTGATACTTCCGAAGAGAGGAACCATCGAGCGTGAAAACCTTCTGTTCATGTGCAGTCAAGATCAACTCCTGCATGGCATCTGGGGACCAAGTTCGGACAAACGGCATGACATCACGGATGCACAAACTAGGATTCTTCGGCCAAACAGGGACAGACAAGGACCCAAGCGCAGGATGCGACGCAACCACCCACCAACGAAAACGCTTGGCACACCAGTTGTCCTCGAGCTTCAACGACACTTCACAGAGGTGGTATCCAAGCTGGTCAGACAGGACCTGGAGGCATGACCGAACAAACTGGTTGGACCGGGCCTGTGTCACACATTCCAAGATGAGCAGCGGGCATTGGCACAGGTGACAAGCACGAATGGTGGCTGGTACTGTCGAGGATCTGTCATCACTGGACCCGCCTTGAGCACCTCCAGAGGAATAGGGCTGGCACGAAAAACCTGTCATCATGGTGAAAGGAGGCTCAACACGCTGCACGATCTCTTTGATGACAGATGGGTCAGAAATGTCTCCATGGATCACTGGCACACCTGGGTTGCAAGTCCGGTGGAGTTCAACCAGAGGGGCACGCCACTCAACACTGCAAGCATGTCGAAACCCCGCTGCTGACAAGCCCGTACTAGAACATGCCAGACCTGCACAAAGCTCAACGCATCTGAACATGTCCTCTGCCGGCCTCATTCCATGTGCAATCACCACTGTCAGATCAGTCAGCAAAAGGTCCACCTCGTCCTTGCTGGAGTCGAAAAGGACGTCAAAAACTGACAGCCGCTTGCACCCCCTCACTCGGGAATCAACCTCCCCAATCACACGAATTTTCTGCTGACCTGGAACAGTAGTACCCAGCAACATCCCCGATGTATGCACTAAGACATCCATGACCAGAGACACCTTTGTTCCCTGAACCATGGTGGAACAGTTGGGGCACAAACCGAAATCAAGACATGGCGAGTCCCAAGACATTGTGAAACCAGTGAAAACAAAAGGGGGGCCACAACCACTCAGATTTAGTGAGAGCGACCAACCCCTGGCAGGTATCTGAGCAAAAGGCTGTTCCAAACCACCAACCGGATAGACTTAGGGTTACCCTATTTCCATGTTTTTTCTCTGCGGTCGTGGATCCAGGGATTCAACTGAAAAAACATGAGTGAGTCATGGTCTTCGATGGTGCCACTTAGGCATGGACAAAGCTGTACACTGTACCCTCTGGTAATCAGCTATGGAAAACAAAAACAACATGTTCCATTGTCCATAGTCATCTGGTTGGTGCTTTGAACCCCTCTGAAAAACATGAGTTCGTCAGTTGGGATGATGACATTCCCAACTGAATGGAAAACCCAACCACCAACCAGTCATGTTAAATTATCGGAAGGTACCGTTTGCTCACCAATTTCAGACTCCCCTTCCCCATTTCCCTGAGAAAAAAATCGTCGGAGGTGAAGACCTTCGTTTGGGAAGCACTAAGCAGTTCATTGATGTGGCAATGGCAAGAAAACTCTCCCAGGTCTGTTCGGTATACGTGATGACGCGAGTCTATATCAAACATACAGTAAATAAATAAATAAATATATAATATGTATATATATATATATATGATATATGTGTAATTCAATATGTTATATCAAAAATTACTTTACTTCGTGTGATCCCCACCATGACATTTATACATGTTCTTACTGGCACATCTTCTGGCATTCTATCTGACATATCTTCTGACATTCTATTTGGCATTCTATCTGGCATATCTTCTGGCATTCTATCTGGCAAATCTTCTGGCATTCTATCTGGCATATCTTCTGGCATTCTATCTGACATATCTTCTGGCATTCTATCTGGCATTCTATCTGGCATATCTTCTGGCATATATTCTGACATATCTTCTGGCATTCTATCTGGCATTCTCTCTGGCATTCTATCTGGCATATCTTCTGGAATATCTTCTGGCATATCTATCTGGCATATCTTCTGGCATATTTTCTGGCATTCTACCTGGCAAATCTTCTGGCACTCTATCTGACATTTTATCTTCCTACATGAGGTCCGGCAGGGAACACTTGGCGTGGATACTCGCGGTTGAGGTCCGGCAGGGAACACTGGGCGTGGATGGTCGTGGTTGAGGTCCGGCAGGGCACACTGGGCGTGGATGGTCGTGGTTGAGGTCCGGCAGGGAACACTGAGCATGGATGGTAGTGGTTGAGGTCCGACAGAGAACACTGTGGATCGCGGGTCGCAGTTGGACAAGGACGACGAGGAGGACGACGAGGAGGACGACGAGGAGGAGGAGGAGGAGGCAACTGACATAAAATCTAACAACCCTCACCTGGCAGGTGGGGAAATATATATATGATATTTGGGACGTTTGAACCTCCAAATCTCCAAATGTGTTCACTCCGCAGCGACAATCAAATCAAACAGTCCGTTGAACAAAACAGTGGTCAAAAAATGTAACGACGCTGATATAGTATAAATAATGTGTATATATAATACATATATATATAGTATATATATATATAAATATTATATATACCTTAATATTACTAATGTTATAGTAATAGTAGTCAATCAATCTGTCGAGCGCCCCTCATAGTATGAGCCATTGTTCTCTTCTCGCACCTGCGAAGGGAATTCCACGGCATCTTCGCTGTGTTGGCGGCAAACCACCTACCCAGAACGGCCAGAACACCCAATGGCTACAGGAAGATCAGCAACAAAAATCCACATTTAATGCTGATATAATAGGCATATACCTGGGAATATACATCATTATACATCAATATACTGGGATAATTATTGAAGATCAATGGAAGATGAATGGAAAATGATCTATTTCTAGGGGATTTACCAGATTTACCACAAAAACGATGGTGATTTTCCATAGCTATGTCAATCTACCAGGGGGTAGTAACAACATAGGTTTGTTTGTGTTGCTTTCCGAAAATATGTGGTAAAGTACTCGTACTCGTTTGCCTAGAATACATGGAGAGGCTCTTGAAAGTAGTTAATGGAACTTCATTTACGCCTTACAACACGTGTCTTGCCGCACTGTCTTGCCCAAAAGTTTGAAGGACAGGGTTCCAAGAAACACGTGTTGACTGTTTCAAGCCTGAGGCTTCCAGCTATTCAATCCAATGGATATCGCTAAGGTGAGGGATTGGATTTGAACCCAAGCTATCTGAAGACCTTTTCCCTACCATTCCAGTTTCAACAGGCTTTCCGATCCATCTGCAAGTTGTGCAACTCACTTTTAAGTCAATCAAACAACAGATCTACCTGGCGAAGATCCCAAAAACTCATGGAATGCTCAGGACTTTTCACCTTCAAATTCCGCAGAAAAATCATGAAAAATCACCAAAATAATGGCACCTTGGGTCTGCGACCACCACAGAAATCCAGAAATCCATCACCACAGCATTCCATGGCAGCAAATCGCCAACAAAGGATCTGTGTTTCGGAAGATTTTTCACAGCCACGGATCTGTGTATTCCTTCACTGGTGAAGCTTCTGCGTCACATGTCTCATCTCCCCTATGGGCTTTAAAAAGTCTTTCCCGTCTATTCGGTAGCGGGATGCGGCCGACCAAATGTCCGAGGCCTTTCTCCAGAATTACTTGTGGATTAATTCAACAAACATCACTGAGATTTTTCTTGTTGGTTGTTGAATTAATCCACAAGTAATTCTGAATCATTGATGAATGTTTGGCGAATGTCCTCTTCATTATTCTTCATTGGGTTTTTCTGTCTTCTGCACAAGTTGCGACATTCAACATCAGTCAACTTGCCAAGTTGCTCGCCGGGTATATACACTCCCATTGCTGTTGGAACCTGTTGAACTAGTTGAAGTCAAAACTCACAAACAATATATCATCATCCGCCTAATGTAGGGAAAGAAGGCCATCCATTTTAATAGTGGCATGCTTCGACGGAGCCAAAAAAAACATACTGCAGAAAGGACCTGCGTTGCGTTCCACCCCGCCTTGCCCGAACTAAAAGGAGGTTTCACTTTGAAAATCATCTATACATGGCTAATTGGTGGTTTCAACCCCCTTGAAACATATTAATCAGATTGGATCATCATCCCAACTATTGGGGAAAATAAAAAATGTTCCAAACCACCAACCAGATGGAATTGCTCCATTGCCATGGTTTGGATTCTCCTAAAGATGGTCTGTGACAATGCCACTTGAGCCTACAGCCAGTTTGAATTTAGGATCCCATATTCCACCAACTCAAAGGGTAAACACGGTAAACTCATGGTTTTTAGCTTCCCCCTCACCTTCCACAAAAATTTGGGATATGTCACAGATTCTGCAAGATACCAATCTCACTGGAAATCACTTGCGACGTTTCCGATGTTCCAGATGTAATTCAGCGACCTGGTTTGGGTGATCAAGCAGCAAGATATACCCTCTGGTAGTTTGTTACATAGCCATGGAAGCCATGGCCCATAGAAATAGATGGTTTACCTATTACAAATGGTGATTTTCCATGGCTATGTCAGTCATAATCACATGGTATGGTTGATCCAACTTTGGAAAATCACCATGCTATTAATGGGTAAATCCACTATTTCGACTGGGCCATGGCTTCAATAGCAAACTGTTGGTTATGAATCAACATCAAACCAGCTACCAACCAGGGGTATTATCCAATAAAATCCTTGCTACCATCTGGTTATTTAACATAGCCATGGAAAATGGCCCATTTATAGATGGTAAACCATCTATTTCTATGGGCCATGGCTTCCATGGCCATGTAACAAACTACCAGAGGGTTTTCCCATTGAAGACAACCCTTGATTTTGCTAAACCCCTGTTGATCATTCAAGGGATTCTCACTATGTGGGGGAAACACAATCCGTTCCCAAGGGAGATAGGCGTGATTGGTCATTTGGGTCAGTGGGAATACAGTCCCCCCCAGTCGCAGAAGTTTGCCTCAAGTCACCTATCTAGTTGGATGCATGTCGTTTCTAGCCATTTTTCTATCATGAAATATCTAATAAACAAATCTTCCATAAACCCAACTTCATCCAATTATCTGGATACATTATGACTGTGATGCTTCACCAAACCCAAAATCAGGTGCCAGGTCTCGGGGATGATGCCCTAATAAAAGGCCATGAGGTCACCATTATTCCAGTGGTACCGTTGATTTTCCAAGGTCGTGATCAAACTGAACTCCAGAACTATTGTAACTCTTGAGTCCTCAGATTGCCATGAAGAAAAGGTGAAACTCAACTGCTCCTTCATCCCTTCATGATCATATGATCCTTCAAAAAAACAAAATGGATATTGATATGCGACATGTATTTTTGGAACCCACCCAAAATGGAGTTTTTTTCGCTGGGAAAATCATCATGGAAATGGAACCTTCAAAGGAACCGATCCCGCAGATCTTTTCGTCAAAGAATCTGATCATTGGCTCTGCGGGAAAACCATTTTGGCTTCCCTCTGACTCTGCCCAGCAGGGAGTCAAATTAGATTCGTGATGCTTCACTTCATTCACCAGTGTCCAAGTGTATACATATGTATATATAAATATACATATCATAAATATTTGTGTATATATATAATAATAATTATTAATAATAAAAATACTAATATATAATTGTAGTCTATAAATATATATATATATATATATGATTTTTTTACATATAGTTATACAACAAAATTGCCATTCCAGGAACACCAAAAGTGAAGCAGTTGCCAGAATATGTCACCATTTTTCAGTTTGATCCACCTCAGTTTCATGAATGGGGGAATGACGAGTGCCCCAAAAAATGATGGGTCATCTATGGTTCCATCGATTGAATGACATGGAATAACTACAGCATGCTGTGTATTTCAGTGGATCGTGAAGGCATTGATGTAGAGTCGCTGGCTAAGCAGCTAAGCAGCTAAGCACGATAACCAC